ATCTTTCAATAACATGGTTAACCCAGTTTTTGTTTTTTGTTTTGGGGTTCTGTTTGTTTTTTGGTTTGGGGGTTTTTGTTTTGTTGCTTTGGTTTTTTTGTTGTTGTTTTGTTTTTGTTTTTGTTTTTTTTGTTTTTGTTTTTGTTTTTTTTGTTTTGATTTTCACAGCCTTAGTATAAGTGCCTGTCACCTCTTGCCTGCATGATTAAAAAAAGAAAAAAAAATCTCATGAATCCTTGTGCCTCTGATATTCTTATCAAAATGCAGTTCATCTCCATTACTGTAGCCATAGCTGGCTTTTTATTTTTTATTTTATTGTATTTTTTTATTTTTAAAAAAAGATTTTGTTTATTTATTTGAAAGAGAGAGCACAGAGGGAGAGGGAGAAGCAGGCTTCCCACTGAGCAGGGACCCCAACTCGACATGGGGCTCAATCCCAGGACCCTGAGATCATGACCTGAGCCAAAGGCAGATGCTTAACCGACTGAGTCACCCTGGTGGCCCCATAGCTGGCTTTTTAAAATACACATTTGATTGTGTCTTTCCAGAGCTTAGGGATGTCTTAAAATTCCTCTGTTTTGAAAGGGATTGTGTCTAAGCTCTTGAACATGGAACACAGTCTCATGACCTGGCCCTGATGGCCTGCTGGCCTCCTCACACCTAAGCCCCAGGGTGCGCTCTGTCCTATAGATGCTCCCCACACCCATGGCGCATTTCCACCCCTCTCTGCTAGTGCTGTGCGGCCTGATATTCCCCACCTTCTCCTCCTCCCTTGAGAATCCAGAATCCGGAAGAATGCTTTGGGCTGCAAGTGACAGAAAACCTGACTCAAAACAGCTCCAACAATAAGAGGTTTGTTATGTCACTTAAGAAAATGAGATAACACTTGTTATCTCACTTAAGAAAATGAGGCAGTTCCATGGTTAATTTAATGCTAAGTAAGCCACCCAAGAGCTGTGTTCATCCAAGTTTCTGTTTTGTCATCTTTAGTGCAGCTTTTGTCCCCACTGTGGACAGAATTGTTTACCCAGCCTCATGTTTATATTGGTGAATCAATCAGGGTTTTCCAGAGAAAGAGAACCAATAGAATATGTGTGTGTGTGTGTGGAGACAGAGAGAGAGAGAGATTTATTTCAAGGAACTGGCTCATTTTATTGTGGAGACTGACAAATCTGTAATTTGCAGGGTAAACTGGCAGATTGGAGACCCAGAGAGGAGCTGATGTTGCAGCCTGAGGGCAAAATATTCTGAAAACACAATTTCTTCTTCATTGGAGAACCTCTCAGTCTTCTCTCAAGGCCTTCAACTGATTGGATGATACCACCAACATTTATTAGGAAGGGTAATCTGCTTTACCTAAGCTCCACTGTTATTAATGGCAATCTCGTCTAAAAAAAATTGAGGGATGTCTGGGTGGCTCAGTGATTGAACATCTGCCTTTGGCTCAGGACGTGATCCCGGAGTGCCAGGATCGAGTTTCGCATCAGGCTTCCTCCATGGAGCCTGCTTCTCCCTTTGCCTGTATCTCTGCTGCTCTCTCTTTCTCTCTTTCTCTCTGTGTCTTTCATGAATAAATAAATAAAATCTAAAAAGTACATTCACAGTGGGACAATCTGGGTGGCTCAGTTGGCTACGCATCTGCCTTTGGCTCAGGTCATGATTCCACCTCAGTTCAGGGCTTAATATCAGGGACGTTAGTTCAGGCCCTGCTTTGGGCTCCACACTGGACATGGAGACTACTTGAAAAAAAAAATCTTCACAGAAACATCTAGAATAGAATTTAATCAAATACCTTGGTACTGTGGACTAGCCAATTTGACACATGAAATTAACCATCATGATGTCTAAATGAATAAGTCTCAAGAAACAGATTGAAATAACCATTACTGGGGTGGATATTAATCAAAATTAATTTTCTGGGGCTGGGGAAGGACTCTTTCTCTGAGCACATAAGCACATGCCTGTGTGGAGGATGGACATAAATAAAATCAGGACTCTGCCTGCAAAGCAGGCTACAGTTAGGGATGAGGTTGGATGAAAGTGTAGATTTGATTAGGTAAACAACAAAGTCTGCTAATCAATATGCAGGTAGAATCATAATACTTTATGGACTCCTTTACATATTATATAAACCCTATTAGAACCTTTGTTATACTGAATCATAGGTTTATGGCTCATCTTCCTCTTTAGACAGTGGGTTCACCTTGAATAAGAACCATGTATCAGCTACCTCTTTATCAACATCCCCACGCATGGTGCTCAGCATCAAATGGCTACTCCATAGGTGCTCTGAACTGACCAAAGTGGGTTATTCTGGTGCTAAATAGACTTTGTGCTTACCATTAAAAAATCATGTATTTCTATGCACCACAAGCTTTGTTGAAATCACAGATTCACAACAGTTATGCCAACTGACAATTATTTCTAGATACTCTTGCAAAGAACTTATGGGGCAATAAAATTTGTCCAAATAGTCCAGTCAGAGGAATTTCTCTTCGTTTTCACACATCCATAACATGAAAAAAAAATCCCAGTGGCAAAGCAAAGAACATTCTCAACCTTATACTCAGCAATGATAATAAGAAATAAAGGGTCCATTGTTTGCCCTAAGCACCAACTCAGATAAAGTAGGTCATTTGGAGTGTGTCAGATATTAGAGCCTCAGGTCCAATTACTTAATTCAAAAATGCTCATTACTCTTATCTTTTTTTTTTTTTTTAACAGAGGGAGTGCTCTAAAGTTTAAGAAGCAAAATCATCAGATAGAAGTCTTCTTCACCAGGAAGCCAGAGGGCTTTGGGACTGCTAAGTGCAGAGGATGATAAAGTTACTTCTCAGTTGGCCACTGTGTAGAGACCAGTTGAACTCATCAATCCAAGGAACAATTACAATCCAAGCATCTTCCATGTTCTATGCATCATGAGAGACCTTTACCTGCATTATTATATTTCCAGTTTACAGCTCTCTGCCTTTTCCCAAGCAGAGAAGTATCAAATATCCAGTTATGTTGCTATTGATAAAATAATAAGTTATACCAAAAGAGCAACTGACATGTCTTCCCACCATGCATCAGACATTACCATAAGCACCTTATCTGCATTATATAATTTAATCCTCACAAAACCTCATGAGGCTGACTGGGTCCTTATCTCCATTTGAACAGATGAATCACCCAAGGATCTGAGGGTAGGTAGGCAATTTGCTGACAGAACAACAGTAGGAAGCCACAGAACCCAGACTCAACCCCGGGTCTGTTTGACTCGAGAGTCCACACTCAGACCTCTGTACCTTACTGCTTCCCGTGTAGCAGATTTTATACATATAAAGCTGGAAATGAGGGAAAGTTCAACTCTTTTAAATCAACACACAAAAGGAAAGATAAAACTTTCCTATGGCTGTCTCAGAAGCAACAACCAAATCAAAAGTGGGCTTTGAACACCTGTAAAGAAGGAATGTGCCAACAGAGGGGAAAACATCAAAAATAAAATGTGGGGCAGAAAAGCAAAATTTTGCAGGGCTTATTCAGTATTATCTGTGAGCACTTCAGTCACTACAGAGGATATTATTAGTTTAGCAAGACATATTATAACCTGGAGGGAATGCCCTTTGTTGCTCTAATTTCATAATTACAATGCACAAAAATATAATTATAAATGCAATTTCTGAGATATCTTGAATATGAGAAGCAGATTCCTCAGAAAAACAATAAGCACTCCATCCAATGGAAAGGGATGTCTCCAGTTGTTGAGGATAAAGTGCCCTGTATCTCGATCATGCCACATGAGAATAGCTTGTGTCAATTAAGTTGTTACAAGATTATTATTAGAAACCTGATCATTTCTAGGTGAACTAATCAAGACCAGTTTCTGTGCCCACTGGGCCAAGGACTAAATGTGCCACAGTAAATCTGTACAGTTAATAATATCAATTTATGAGGCCATTTGGCAGTCTTGTGGGTCACCCACTCTTTCCCCATGCTGCTTTCCTTCTGTTGGAGGAAATTGTTCCACAGTACAATTGAGAAAGGGACACTCAGAGGGGTTTAGTAACTTGCTGAGCTCTGTGCAGCTGATGCAATGAACACTACAGAAGAATGACAACACGATGGAGAGCTGCCAGGAGTGAACCAGGTGATCCCGGGGCACTGCTCTGCCCACCTACCACCAACTACAAAGATATCCCCTGACACGTGGAGCCCTCTGTTCTTAGTGCCTACATGGGGACTCTATCTTGACTCCTCTTAAGAACTGTATTTCTTACCCTCCCACATCTGAGCAGTTAAAACTACTTTGAAATACCTCACCTGCCTTTCTGTCCATCCTTCTCCTTTACATTCTTGCTCTGTCTCTTGCCTCTCTCCCTACTAAAGTCTGACACTCCAGAAGGATGAGGACCATGATTGAGTGAAAAGTGGTGGGGGACCACCCTCCGCCTTCCTCTGGAACTGAAGCCATGCTAAGTCTCTGGCTCTAATTCGTCTTCAGTTCTGGCCCCACCCTGCCATGCTGACAACATCCACTCCACCTGTTATTTTTAGCTCATGCTTGGCCCAATCTGCTAAGTCCTGACCACAGATGCTACTGAAGTGACATCAGTGACAGCATGCATCCCAGCAAGCCTCATTGTCATGGTCAGCCTTTCCAGACTTCCTGTTTCATTAATGTTAAAGAAGATGGTTCTTTCTTGTTTAACCAAATTCCAACAGACAGAGCTTTAATGCTCCATCCTTCTGGTGTCCTCTCCCTGGAAGAGCCACCTGTAGATGGAACAGCTTTGGGATATAGGCTCACATGGGGAAAGTTGGTTTTGATTAAATTGCCACTCTTGAATAAACCTGCCCTTGATGAGAAAGTTTGACATCTACAATGCACAGGAGATGCTGGTGCTCCTTACCACACCCTCCTTTCCATATAGTGAATGCAAACTTCTGGAAATAACATTATGTATTTCATTCAAATTCTTCTCTCAAAAATAAAAGAACAAGAATCCATGTGCATTTACCTGGAACAAAGCTTCCCTGGACCACCTCCTTATACGCCCACCAGCCTTCATGGATTTTTGGTGAATTCTGTTGAGCTAAAGGAGAAAAAAAAGAGTCATTGAGAGGCTAGCAGAGAATCCCTGTATCCTAGTTGTGGAAAAATGGTGAATATACATACAATAATTCTCTTCTACCTACAAGTCACCCTACAAAATGCAATAGCAAAACCTTCTCTCTCCTTTTTTTCAAATAGATTATTAACCTGTAAATATACTGTCAATGCGTTTTTTATAAAAAAAAAACACTCAGGAGATTTCTATTGAAGGGAGAGGGAACAGTAATTATGTATTTAAGCCTATTTAACTCCCTGTCATTTGTCTCTACCTCTGACTTCTTTTCTGCACCTGCCCCTGCACATGTACACCAAGCACACACCCTCTCCACTGGGATTGAGGAGAGGAGGCTGATCCCATCCTCAAGCCAGACAAGAACTCTACATGTGCACAAACCCCTTAGAAATGGAGAGAAGGTAGGAGGTTTGCTACAAGGGCTAGGCTCGAAGAGGGAAGGGTACAATTGGTCAGCTTTCTTTAGGCCCCAGGAAAATGAAAACAAGAGTATAATCATAGGGAGAGCTTTTGACATCATAGGGATAAAAAGTGGAAAGCTCAAGAAATTGGAACATAGCATAGGGATCTGTGAGCACATGCTGACATGACCTTTGACCCTTGTGACAGTCAGTGGGTGATTTGAGGTGATCCTATTATGTGTGACTGTACATCCAAAGTACAGGTGGCATAGAACTTGTGTGGATCCCTTCACTATTGAACTGCATCGTATTTCAGCTGTCAGTCACACTGGAAGAAAAAAAGGTAATTTCGATCATATTTGTAATTGGGCAAGTATGTAGCAAATGTTAAACCTTGACTTTCATTTCCTTTCTTTAAATCTTATTCTTTTTCAGTCTCCTTCAGATTTGTCATTCCAGGTTAGAGAGAAAGGTACAAGACAATGTGTTTGAAAGCACAGCTTTGCATAGAGAGGAACTGTTAAATTTCTTTAGCTTCCATATGAGCTTCAATTGCTTAGCTCCAAGTGTCTTCCCATAGTAGAAGGAAGATAGTTTTTTTGCCTATGATATGACAAGGCTGCTGAGGCTTACAGCTCTGTGATAAAGACACAGCACAAGTGAAAAGGAAGCTTACTCCTGGAGATGACAAAGAGGTTCAAGATCTTTAGAAACAAATAGAATAGGGACAAAGAACCTACTTAAAGGCTCTGGAAGGATATCACCTTTCAAGTTGCCCAGCACAAATCTAGGGCTTGGGATGTGTCAAAGTACACTGGATTACCCACTACCCCAATTCCATGTGGAATGGATAGAGCTCAGATATTCCCATAGCCTTGAGGAAGATCCTAAAGGCAACTGAGTTGAAAGCCAGTGCATCTGTTCTAGGATAGCAGACAAAGGGAGAAGTGGCCTCAAAGCAGAGGCTTGGAGAGGTTTTGTCCAGCCAGAGAGCCAAATGGAAGAGTCAACAGAGACTCTAGTTTATTTGTGGCACTAGGAAAAAACAAGGAGATTTGAAATCAGCTAGGAATGCTTTATGCCTGACCAAGTTAAGAAACCAGATAGAGTTATATTGCTTGGAAAGTTTAGCAAGTAGGTGAGCATAGGACATTTCTCTGGTTCAGAACAATTCTGATGCTTCCTTCGAGCCTTGACATTGCATGATACACTGTCCCCTTCCTTCCCAGCTCATTGGAGGTCATCACAGGAGAAAAAGAGGAATGCCAAAGATTTAGAAATCTATGGGATGAGATTCACCTAATGTACTCAGACCCAGTGGCCCATTTTTGAAACAAACATTTAATAATGCCCACCTTGATGTTAATTAAATAAAACTCATAGACTCATAGATAGTACATCTTACAAACAAAACAAAAACTCTGATATTTCACTAAATTTCAGCCTACCTCTCCTGAACGTGAAGCATGTCCCAAGTCTAAAGGAGATACACATATCTGAAAGCCCAAAAGTACTGAACTGCAGACATCACTTAATAGGTCTGCATTAGAGATAAGGCAGCATTGATTTGCCTTATCAAAGACAGAAATTTCCGAGTTTTATCAAAACTCACCAAATTTTATCAAATCAGGATTGTTGCCTATCTTGAAAATTTTAAACCATAAATATGGCCTTCTTTCTTTATCAGAGGTAATTGTTGGGAAAGCTTAAAGTTTAAATTCAATTAATTAACATATAGTGTATTATTAGTTTCAGAGGTAGAGTTCAGCGATTCATCAGTTGCATATAACACCCAGTGCTCATTACATCACACGCTTTCCTTAATGCTCAATACTTAGTTACCCCATCCCCCAGCCCTGCCCCTCCAGCAACCCACATTTTGTTTCCTACAGTTAACACTCTCTTATGGTTTGTCTCCCTCTTTTTGATTTTCTCTTATTTTATTTTTCCCTCCCTTCCCCTATGATCCTCTGTCTTGTTTCTTAAATTCCACATAAGAGGGACACCTGGGTGGCTTAGCAGTTAAGCGCCTGCCTTCAGTTCAGGGTGTGATCCTGGGGGCCCGGGATGGAGTCCCATATTGGGCTCCCTGCATGGTGCCTGCTTCTCCCTCTGCCTCTCTGCCTCTCTCTGTATCTCTCATGAATTAATAAATAAGATCTTTTTAAAAATTCCACATATGAGTGAAATCATATGATAATTGCCTTTTCCTGATTGACTTATTTCACTTAGCATAATACCCTCTAATTCCATCCATGTCATTGCAAATGGTAAGATTTCATTTCTGATGGCTAATATTCCATTGTGTATATATACCACATCTTCTTTATCCATTCATCTGTGGATAGATATCTGGGTTCTTTCCATAGTTTGGCTATTGTGGATATTGCTACTATAAACACTGGGGTGCAGATGCCCCTTCAGGGCACTACTTTTGTATCTTTGGTGTAAATACCTAGAGGTGCAGTTGCTGGGTCATAGGGTAGCTCTATTTTTAACCTTCTGAGGATACTCCATACTGTTTTCCAGAGTTGGTATAGTTGCTATAGGACTGTCCCCCTTTCTCTGCACCTTCACCAGAATTTGTTGTTTCCCAACGTGTTAACTTTAGCCATTCTAACTGATGTGAGGTGGTATCTCATTACACCAAAAAACATAAGATAATTAGGAATAAACTTAACCAAGGAGGTAAAAAATCTGCACTCTGAAAACTAGAGAACACTCATGAAAGAAATTGAAGAAGACACAACGAAATGGAAAAATGTTTCGTGCTCATGGATTAGAAGAAAAATAAAGTTAAAATATCTAAGCTACTTAGAGCAATCTACACATTCAGTGCAATCCCTATCAAAATGCCACCAGCATTTTTCACAGAGCTAGAACAAATATTAAAATCTGGATGGAACTAGAAAGACCCTGAATAGCCAAAGGAATGTTGAAAAAGAAAACAGAAGCTGATGACATCACAATTCTGGACTTCAAGCTCTAATACAAAGCTGTTATCATCAAGACAGTATGGTACTGGCACATATCAATGGAATAGAATAGAGAACCTAGAAATGGACCCTCAACTCTACAGTCAACTAATCTTTGACAAAGCAGGAAAGAATAACTGATAGAAAAAAGAGTCTCTTCAGCAAATGGTGTTGGGAAAATTGGACAGCCCCATGGAGAAGAATGAAATTGGATTATATTCTTACACCATACACAAAAATTAACTCAAAATGGATGAAAGACCTAAATGTGAGATAGTAATCCATCAAAATCCCAGAGGAGAACACAGGCAGCAACCTTTGTGACCTTGGCCACAGCAACTTCTTGCTAGACACGTTTCCAAAGGCAAGGGTAACAAAAGCAAAAATGAACTACTGAGACTTCATCAAGATAAAAATCTTCCTGCATGGCAAAGGAAACAGTTGAAAAAACAAAAGCAACCTACAGAATGGGAGAAGATATTTGCAAATGTCTTATCCAATAAAGGGCTAGTATTCAAAATCTATAAAGAGCTTATCAAACTCAATATCCCCAAAAAATCCTATCAAGATATGGGAAAAAGACATGAACAGACATTTCTCCAAAGAAGACATACTAATGGCCAACAGACACATGAAAAAGTATCCAGCATCACTCAGCATCAGGGAAATACAAATTAAAACCACAATGAGGAGCCACACTCTCTTGTATATAACTTGTATATATGTGTATATCCTCATTACAAGTGAGGACCTTCACAGCACTCAAAAATTTCTTTTTGACATCAAATATCTTTACCAACTCGTTTTATAAAAATTTTGTTGATAGTACTTACACATATCCATTTCAAACAATTAACATATAGCTTTAGCTATAATTTAAAGAAGAAATAAAAGAAATGTGACTCATAATAATATATATTTCATTGTGCATGTTTGAGGATGATGCACTAGAACAGAGATCAGCAAATTGCCATCTACTAGCCAAAGATGCCCCACTATTTTTGTACAGCTCAAGACCTAAGAATGGCTTTGCATTTTTAAGTAGTCAAAAAAATAAAAAAGAATATCTTGTGATGTGAAAATTATATTATAAATGGAAATCTCAATGTCTATAGATAAAGTTTTACTGAAACACAGCCATGTCTACTTCTCTGCAAATTGCCTTTATGGCTGCTTTCTCATTACAATGGCAGAGTTCAACAAGAACTGAGACAATTGGCCTGTAAACAGGCCTGTGACAGAGACCAATTGGCCTGTAAAATTTAAAATATTTCCTATGTGGCTCTTAACAGAAAAAGTTTGTTGATTTAATTTAAGCACATAATTTCAAAAACTCAATATAATGTAATGTCTTAACTGTAATACAAAGGATAAATGCATAATTTTTAATAAAGTGTTGTATATTTCCATTTGTAAATACTTGGTTATGATATGCCAGAAGAATGAAGAAGTTGGATATTTGATTGAAACAGGTACAAATAATACAGGTGTGAGGCACCTGGGTGGTTCAGTCAGTTGAGCTTCTGACTCTTGATTTTGGCTCAGGTCATGATCTCAGGGTCTTAGAATCAAGCTCATGCTCAGTGGGGAG